AAAAGTCTTACGAGTTTTAAAACTTGCCACAATATTATCTTATATCTTATTACTGAAATGATTGGCACCTTTCAAGTGCAAATTAAATCTAGTCGAAAAGGTAGAGCGAACTGAGCGAAACAGGTTACTGGGGCGTTGTTAGAGCGGAACAGTTTATAGGGCGCGGCGAGGCCTTTACGAAGTGAGCCTCCGCCTGCCATGCTACCCTGGTAGATATTTCTTTTTATGGTCTACGGATAAATGTCAGGGGAGTGGCCGGCGCGCCTAGAAACCCGTGCGTTATGACTTTCGGGTTTACGCGGCTAGCTGCTATAAAAAGAAAAAGAATGGGACCAACTTTCCAATAGTCAAACTGTCTATGACCACGGAAAAGTATTACGACTTTATTACGCACTTGACCTTTGGGGTCTACGATAAGAATGTAAAACTAAACTTACTAAACTTGCCGAACTTTTTTTTATTCTTTCTAAACGATCTTGTTTTTTACTCCAAAAATCGCAATATCATAATTTATAGATAGGTTAAGGTTGCCCAAGATTATCTCAAACTAAATAAACGTGTATTTTATAAAATATAAAATAGCAACACACAGAAAAAAACGTAGTATTATTTCCAACAAAACATGAATGAACATCGAGAGAACACTGTGGTACACATCGAATTCCACACGGACTTTTAATATCTTACTGGTTCATGTTCTCCTGATAAAAAGGACACGTCAGCATCCCGTATTTCTCACGCTCGCACCCGGACAGCCTCCAGCCTCCCTGTTTTGTCTCTTTTTAATCCCTGGGACGTTACTCTCACACACGTTACGTAGATAGCGTGGGAAAAACGGATGAGAACGCTTTGGTCCTTTTCTGATTACGTTTTTTCACCTTATAATTTATAATTCACTGTCTCATTATACCCTAGTAAATAAGTAGACAGTTTTCAAAGAATAAATAAAAAAACATGGTTCAGTTTATTGGATCGTAAAATCATACAGAACAGTATTAATATTGTTATCTACATTTCAATTAGGTTGAAAAGGAAAGAGATAATCGTAACATCTCTTTCTTGTAATATCTGAACTATTTTTAACTCGTTTGTAGTTAACTACTGCGTTTCATCGTTTTATTTATATTTTTGTATAAATAACACTTGTTCCACTTTTGTATGTAGAGGTATGTACTATGTAGGTATGTCATATAGATACTAGCTGTTCTTCGCAACTTCGTCCGCGTATAATGATTACTTAAATTGCACTCAAATAGGTTCAGTGGTTTAAGCAATAGAGAATCCCGGATTTTAACGCATAGTTCCTGTCACGTGAGATTTCCTTTCCAGTGCCAATGTCTCAAACTCTCATTGAACCGAATTTTAATCACATAGGTTCAATGGTTAATAAAATTAGTATTCAGCCTCTTTGCATGCCTTAATGTTGTATCATGATAATAAAAAAAAACATTGTCAATAGTCAAAGGCTTAGCATAAGGAGTTTTTTGGTAGTATTTTTAAACATCGGTTTAAATTATCGAAATTTTCACAAGGTTCCTTTTTTCTGTTCAGCATCGATAATGTAGGATTCCAACGGCAAATGAATTTTTCAAATCGGCTCGGTAGTTTCGGAGGAGATGGCATTCAAACAAACAAACAAAAAATCAAATCTTTCCTCTTTATACTATTAGTGTAGATGTAGATTTATACCTAAGTGTACCAAATAATTCAATTGTGAATTATTGAGATACATGTCGCTTTCATCAATGAAACTACGAAGGAGAATGATATACAACATGTAACTTAAATAATGCACATCCTGAAAATAGTTTGTTCAGAATCGTTAACTGAATCGATTTATATAATTTTTAGTATAGGTAATTTTTTATCCCAAAAATAATTAAAACTAGGGAAATAATTGTCATATTAATCCTGTATTGTTAAAACAAATCGAATTGGACCGTAAGTCAAAGCAATAAGACTTTTAAAGCCTCATTTTTTTTTGTATTCATACAAATTCTATCATTCAATACAAAATAAAGAAAAATAAACCTTATGACAAGACCAGTAAGGATGCATATAGGTACATGTTAAATTAGAAATTTAGTGTATGTATTATGATTATAACTTAATATTCTAATTGGGGTGTTTGAGGGTGTGCGTTAATTACGGTACATGTTGTATATAATAGGCGTTCTATTATTACCAAAAGAGTAGCCGATAATAGACGATAATGTTAGGGGTCTTACAAAACTAATAATACAATATAGTCCTGAAAAAAGTACTTAATGATTTTTACCGGTTGTCATCAATCTATCTATAGTTATAAATAAAAATGAATTTCAGTTCGTTAGTCTCACGAAAACTCGAAAACGGCTGAACCGATTTTGGCTAATTTTGGTCTTGAAATGTTCGTGGAAGTTCGGGGAAGACTTAAAGGTTGAAAAAAATTTAGGCGGTGCAAAGTTTGTCGGGTCAGCTAGGTATCAATACATGAGGACTAGTTCCCCGTAAAAGTGGACTGGACGGGCAGTCGTGCCAGTGAACAGTCAGGGCGCAACCATGTTAATTTATGTGACATTTACACAGACAGGAGCCGCCTTTGACCTTCACAAACCTGGATATAACTTCTCTTATGATATAGGTATTATTCTGACTTAGCTACATTTATTTAAATAATGATTCTTAAATTACACTTTTAGATATTAAATAGTAAAAAAACAATATAAAATGGGAACCAACGGGTATCGGGAGCATGAACCATGCTCACGAAACATTCAATTTCACATACACATGACACCCAGACCCGAAAGAACAATTTGTGGATCACACAAAAAGTTGCTCCGTGCGGGAATTGAACCCGCTAGACGTTGCGCGGCAGCCAGTTGCTCAGTCACCGAGCCATCCGTGCAGTCAGCCGTGGGTTAGAACTTCAGAGACGGAAACCTCCTCACAATGCGTGCCATTTCAAGGAGAACTTCTCATTCATAATGTGGCGTACTAGTCGGTCTATCACCATTATATCAGATTCATTGGCAAGTGGCGATCATAGTCCCATCAGTGATGATAGGCCGATTCCAGTACAATGTGGTATGATCTAGGACTGGGTCGGGCAAAGGAGCTTGGAGCAAAGAGATAAGGCTACTGATTATGCCTATGCAAGTATGGGCTGTTAGACAAACGTCCACAATCAATATAAAAATATGTCTGATGAATTGAATAAGTTGGCAGAGTGGTCCCAAGTGCAACTACTGCTGGGCAAGGGGCCTTGGGTTCGCTTCCTGGTTCGGGCAAAGTATTGCCAGGGTTTTTAAAAAATGTTGATAGCAGCACGGAGAGTGGAACTGTGCCCGGTATATGGCAATAGGTTTACCCCCTATTACAAGGGATTCACAATATAAATAGTGAAAAGTGGGTGTTATATTGTACAGTGGCATTAATTGCCGTAATGTACATCTCTGACTACCCCTTCGGGGAAAAGCGTAGTGATGATGATGATGAATTAAATATCTACAGTAATTATTGATAAATTAGCTTTTTGACTGTGAAAAAACTTTTGAAGTCAATTCGGTAATTTCTCATATTCGGGTCCTCGACGTTACAAACTGACAAACGCTCTTTTTTACTTACATAACTATATACTTTAGAAAACACAGGTCGCCTTTTGTTTTTTTAGAGCCTTTAATTTAGGCCTGTGTAGACGCCTGACGCCTGACAGACAGCGGAACCCGTCACCGGAAGTGACCCAAAAGGTTGCGCGCTCCTGACACCCCGCGGCGCACGTGTCACTTTTTATTTCGGAATATCTTTATGAAAATTTCAGGTAGGTAACTAACTAGACAACAGGTTTGGTTACTGTAAAAGTGTAAAATATTGTTAATGTATGTTCCTTTAAAGTTTTAAAAATTATCTAAATAGAAACGTCTAGGTGTCTTATCACTTCTTTTATTTATCGAAGGATAAGCAAGAAAAGTACTAGGAGCGTCTATCTGTATATTAAAAAAAAAACTAACCGAATAACGTTTCCGATCTGAGAATCGAATCTTTATCGTCATCTGTAAGTACCCTTCTGTTAGATGCGCTTGCACGACCAAAGACGGAGTCGAAAATACAAATTGAATTAATTTCATTGCATAATATGACTATTATGCCAATTATGCCAATAACTAATTTTTCATTATGACATAATTACCCGGGCCTACAACCCCTAATTTAAATAACCAAGTCCCTCGAAAATAAGAAACCCCAGATAAACCCAGTAAAATTATTCATTTTTTATACAACGCAAACTAAACATTCTATAAAAAGCACCAAACACAATTTTACTAAACTGGCCATTCTTATTTATACTACCACCACATAAATTACTGAATCCGCCATGACTTTTACAAAGCAGCCTCAAACATCGCTTTAGCTTCAACACAAGATCCTGTAAATAATATAATGGAGCATGGACAGACAGAAATCACAATGAAATAATACCTAACTTAAGGCTAGAGCATCTATAATACATCTTTTATAATGAAACGACTAAATCAAGTTTTTGCTTAAATGCCATGAGTTCGATTCCCTGGACGTCTGTATAATTTACTCGATAGATAAAGTTACTCGATTTTCATAAAAAATCATAGAAAGATGGGTTACGTACACTTCATGTTACTAATTTACGATATGAATGTCATAGCTACCTCTATTATTCAGCCAAGAACATTTAAACTGTGAGATTCAATGGAATTAAAAAGTTTCGCGGACCCGTAACTAATTTCGAAATCGCTCGTTACTAAACGGCCACCGATTCTCTCTATCACGATGTTAATAACTACAAGATTTTAAAATAATGTTAAATATTATCAATCGTACTAAACCGGACTTTTAGTGATTTTAAATTCTGACCCTAAGATGCTCTTCAGCGTCTGTGGGTTTTATCTTTTAAGACTGCCCAATAAGTTAAACGAAAATGCACCAAAACTTGTAATACACCAACTGCATCAATAAATTAATACAATTAACAATATTCTCACCTGTAAATATTACGGCGACTGTGGCCAACTGCAGCAGTTTCAGCGACCACATAGTTTCAGTTTTTAATGAACCACCAACTCGAGTGTCATACGCAAATCATAGTTAGTGCTAACAAAATAATCGCAAAAAGGTCATTTGAAGGATAAAAACAGATAAATAAACCAAAACAATTTTAAAATACAGCGATTAAAATATAAACAACGTGTTTTAAGAGAAATAAGAAAAAGTGAAATACAAAAATGAATATTGAGTAAATGGTTAGTCGGTGTGTTTCGCGGAGTACGTTCGTCAGTTTGTCAGTCGGCCAACTATTTCAGCAGAGCCGAAAGCTTGGCTGCGCCCCTCGCAACCCCACCACCCTTTACGTGGTGCAGAATGGGGACAGGGAGCGTCCCACGACCATAAAGAAAATGGTCTTTAGTCCTCTGATTGAAACAATATTTGTTGGCTTGAAAGGTGTCGTGCAGGTTTCATAGCTCGTTAACTGAACTGTGCTAGTTGGTGACTCATTTAGGAGACTGTCTGATCTCATTATATATCTGGTCTGATATGTCTGGTCTGATTTTAAATAGGCCAAAATATAGACTAGGATACCTGGGGTATATTACAAGTCATTGACCTAGAGCCATTCCGGTTAGTAAGAAAACGCCATAATTGGGAATAAGACCAAAATTATCAACTGGTTCCTATGGTAGTTTCTACGTACTGCCTTCATTTCTCGCTATAAGGCATCAACTGAGGAGTAGGCTGTGACTCAGGGTATCACGTATGCCTTTAAGAATGCTAGAAACTGATGCTACTACAAAATGTTCTTTTATGATACTGTTCCATATTTTGACATAATCTCTTTCATAATTCGCTATTATTAACGTCAACGATAGATAAGAAATGAGAATCGTTTCATGGGCGTGTTGTGTCCGGGAAGAGATTATATAACATGTATGTGCAGTTACGAACATATTTCCATCTTGGAACATTGTATATTAATAAACCTAGCTATCCATTTATGTATCATTGTTAGACGGTTAAAGAATGCCATCAGGTATTAAATCCGTTTATGTAAACATCACAGAGTGCATAGGACACGTATCGATAATTTCTATTGTGCTTTCATTACTTAAGTAGCGTTATAGTATGTGTGTGTAATTTCTAATTTCATACGAAATTTATAATGGTAAGTGTTGAAATCATTTGCGATAACCCGCATGGAGCCTAGCCGCCCAATCCCTGCAATGCTGGAACGCTACGGAAATGAAAACGATGCTTACTGATCATCATCAACAGCCTATAAATGCCCACTGCTGAGCAAAGCCTCTCTCACACGGAGACGGTTTAAGCATTAATCACCACGCTTGCTCAATGCGGGTTGGCGATTACAAACTTATAATTAGAAATTATAAGCCCAGGTTTCCTCACAATGTTTTCCTTCATCGTTTGTCAGTGGTATCTAGATAATAATCTTAGAACGTACATATAACTCGGAAAAAGTCACATTGGTATTTACCGTTGGTAGATATCGAACCCGCGCCCTCATGCATGAGAAGCGGGCTTCTGAAGCCTCCAGGTCACTAGGACATACTGTTCACTGATATGTTTGCAAAAAGATTCTACTTATTAATTATTATTCTATGTTTACGCCTAAAAATGATTCAGACTAACAAAATTATGGGTTTTATATTATGAAAAATTAGTAGGTATATGACAAATAACTTTTTTGTGAAATGAAGAAAAATAAATAGGTAAATAGTGAAAAGTGGGTGTTACATTGTACAGTGGTATAATGTGCACCTCTGAATACCCCTTCGGGGATAAAAGGCGTGATGTTATGTTATGACATTATGAAATGAAGATTAGCTATACTTCTAAACGAAATTATAACGTAGAATTTTTGAGACCCTTATAACATTATAAGTACTCCAAGTAGGAACCTATGAACAAAATGATAAGGTAATAGGAGCTCATAACTCTTGGCCTGCTAGCGGCGCGGCTCCGACCTATAAAGAGGGTGGCGAAAGGTAACGAAGTCATAAGCTCTAAATGCCGCGCCATGATTGTCTACGCTACGGGCTAACATTTGTGCAAGCCATCCAATTAGGGGCTGTGTTCCTAGCAGGCGAAGTAACCTTGCAGTGTTGACGACGCGAAGGTTATTTTACTACTCAACCTTATGATTTCCTATTCGATTTAGCGTAGCGTAGGTTTTGGGTGTTAATTTTAAGTGATTTTTTTAAGTTTCTAGAACACCCACGGGATATCATTGAGAATTTTCAGTTGAATTTCAGCTTAAAGACTCAATTTGGCCGACAAGGGAATCCAATTCATGGTAGTTGGGCTTGCGACCACACGAGTCCACTAAATCTTAATCAGGTTTGGTTCAGTGTTAGTATTTTACATGGCCAGACTGCTATCTACCGTCCACAACTCACACAGACTGTATTATAAATAAAAACAACAAATATTTTTGGATAATGTAGACAATCGGTACTTAATTCCACACCGGTGGAGATGATTTCTTGTAATATAATCGGCATACTTTTAATGTACCGAATTTTCCCTAAATGTGTTCTGAGAGGTGCCTTTTAGATCTTTCTTATATTGTTAATCTCAATTTTCAATTAAGAAAATAATAGGATAAAAAGAGAACTTCCCGAATTAGCAAACGAATTACCTAATTTAAAAAATTAGGTTTTTGTCAAACGACATTTTAGTGATTTCTTTGAGATTTAAAGTTACGATGTTAGATTTTTCCGTCAAATAGCCAATGGAAGTGTAGATAATTGTATTATGTATATTTATTGTTAGAACGAATTTGTATTCCTCATTATACAAATATATATCTTGTATTATTATTTTCGTGAGACATAATAAATTAAATAATATATTTTTTGACCTACGTAACTGTTTGACAAGGAACTCTTACTCTTACTAACTGTTGTTTATTAATTTATTAAAGTACTAGTACTAACGGACCGGAAGTCGATAGCTTATCATACTAACCCACCTAATTAGAAGTACTATGGAATGAGAAAAAACAACGAAATAATGTTTATAAACATGTTTTATTAATAACTGAAATGTACATTATTATTTAAACTACAATTGTCATACATACATCTGTTACAGTACTTGCGGAACTATCTCAGAGGCGAGCAGGACTTGTATACATTGACATTCACTTAGGACAACTTACAGGAAGGCAGTATTTTTGATATATTCTTTAAATGTCCCAGAATCATACAGGGTATATAGTAAAATTGTCTTATGCTGGTGCCAGACTTGTGCGCACATGTTTTTTTATATTGTGTGACACGGACAAACGTTTATGCGCACAAGTCTGGCGCTAGCATTATAAGACATTTGTTAGCATCCACTTCTATATTAAAATTAGTCACATAGACAGACATGTCTTATCAATTATTATGCCATTTTGCGATTAGTGCATTAAATTACAAAATAAACAACACGAACATATTATTGAAATTGAATTGTAATAGTATAATTTTTGTATCGTTTCTAATATCCAGACATTTGTTACAGTTTTGTTTGAAAAGTAATACATATTTCCAAAATGAGCGAATTTTCCACAATAGGTTCTGAGGTCCCTCCAGAGAGACCTTCTTTAAAGTCTTTTCAAATCAAGTTGAGCAGAATACAAAGGAATATAAATTAAATGCTATCCAGTATTAGGAAATTTCTACTGCAAGGAATTCTAGCATTTGAGCCAAATACGTTAGAGTTGAAAGTTCTATCATATATTTATTCCTGCAGTTTTGTTTTCGAACAGTTACTATGACGGTACATAGTGGGCAGCGGCCGCGTAACATGGCAGTACAAAATATAAATTATATAAATACAATAAACATAAGTTTTATATGTACATCAACAGACGCACACCCACAACTCTTAATTTAAAAAATAACAATGTTAATCTACACACAGAAACCTAAAACTAAAATATTTTATCGTCTATGACTATTATATACACAATTTACAGTTATTCAAACTACTTTGTCTAATATCAGTGAGTGATCCAATGTCTAGTGGAGCTGTCTGTCCATTAATTTCAAACAAACAGAATATTTATTCAACAAATAATTACAAAGAACAATTATTATTATTTTAATGCTTTATTAACAGGTGCAGAAATTTAAATATAATAAAATATAATATGTAACTTTGTATATTAAAATCACAAAAATGTCAAAGCGAATAAATAGCGTCTGTTTGTAAAACGGATAAGTAAATGTTGCGTTGTATTGAAACATGGATGAATTTGTATTCAATATTTAAATAGATTCCGTTATCAGTTGTACACACAACACTTGAGAAATGATTTACAATTATATCGACTACATCACTCCAACGTTTGAACTGAACAATGAACTACAAGGCCGAGGGACGTGCCTTCCCTGCCTCTACCTCATTATATCACACACTACATTGTATTAACAGATATGTCAGTTTGTTATAAACCGAATTATTATGATACGTCAATAAAATAATATAGAAAATATATTTCAAGTTTATAAATACGAGATCCGACTCAAAACAAACTTCATTATACATATAAGATACGAAAACAGTAAATTAAAAGTTCAATAAATAAAAATATTTTCTCCTATTATCAGGTAAGGTACATATCAATAGATATATATATAATTAAAATTAACCCGTTGCTTTCATTGTTTGTAGAATGGAGTACGATAGTTGCGTGTTACCGTCACTGGTAAAGTCGGTAAAGCATAGTTTAAGTAGATAGTTTTACGTCGACGCTTCGAACACAAACACAGTTCAGGGGAGAACAAGTGCAGTATACATATACACACCAACTATAACTCCCAGCGGTGTTGGCTATGTAATGAAATCAGGAAAAGCACATACAAAAAAATCACAGAAAGTTAATAAAAAGCTAATATAGTTCTGTGTTCGAAGCTGCGACCGTATTTAATTTATAACGTTTGTGCATATTATTAAGTAATGCCCACAATAAGTTTACATTGGTCGTTACTACTGAGCCATTTCACCTACATCAGATCTTTATCCATAATACA